GACAGGGGGAGGTGAGCCGCTTCAGTGTCATTGATCCTACTGACTAAAATCAGTTTTACAGCCAGCTGCAGATCACCCTTGCACTCATAAATTGATGGAAGATCTTGGCAAACTATCTTTAAAAAAAACCAGTTAATTTGTTTATTTTTAACAGTTTCTCTTGGCAAAATCATTCTGGCAGTAGATGGTTACTGGGCATATATTCCCACTGGGGTTTTACCTTTGCTCATGACTCACTCATCCCATCATCCTTCCCTTTCTTAATCCACTAGTAGTTTTGTGTTAACTATAGACATTTATATAAAATATTTTTGCTTATAGTTTTTCAGGTAATGAGATGAGGAAAATACTTCAAATATGGTATTTGATTTTAATCATGTGAAAATCATTATTAAGATTAATATAAAAAAATAAAATGATTAAAAGAAAAGATAAGTATATTTTTAATTTTTCCCGTCTGTGAGATTTGAAGTCCAAATGGTTTCCTAGAATAGGCTTTCTTCTAGCTGTATCACTCTTAATATTATGGGAGGTTTACAGAAAAGTTTGACTCTAAAATTATTTTTCATAGTTTAAAAAAATAAAAGAATTAGAAAAGTCAGAGGAAAGCATTGTATTTCTTCCTGTTCCTCTTTTTTAGTCGTTTTATTAGGGGCTCATACGACTCATCACAATCCATACATACATCAATTGTGTAATGCACATTTGTGCATTCATTGCTCTCATCATTCTCAAAACATTTGCTCTCCACTTAAGGCCCCGGCATCAGCTTCTCATTTCCCCCCCTCCTTCCCCGCTCCCCCTTCCCTCATGAGCCCTTGATAATTTATAAATTATTATTTTGTCATATCTTGCCCTGTCTGATGTCTCTTCCTATTCCTTTTGTAGGTGAAAATTTTTAACATATTATCTGTGATCTTAGTCACTTTATGTTTTATGACTGTTAGTGAGTTTTGCATTTTGTCACTTAATTTTGCAGTGAGTTTATTCAACTCTTTAAAGTCTAACTATTGAAATACTAATAGAAATAATGTGGTACAGTAATCTGTTTCCCAAATTATGGTTGTTAGTAAATACCATCAAGTTTGTTCTGACTCATAGTGAACCCTGTGTGCAACAGAATGAGGCATTGCCCACTCTTTCATCATCTTCACAATCACCTGTAGGTTTGTGAGGCCACTGTTGCTGCCACTGTGTCAGTCTATCACTGGTGGACTTCCTGTTTACTTTTGTATGTTCTTCTACTTGACACCTAGCATGATGCTCTTCTCCAGTGACTGGTCCCCTATGTTACCATGACCAAAGTACGGCATGACCAAAACCAAACCAAGCTTACTGCCACTGAGTTGATTCGGATTCAGAGCAAACCTGTAGGATGAAGTAGAACTCCCCTGTTGGGTTTTTAGACTGTTTGTGGGTATAGATAACCTTGTCTTTCTTCTGCAGAGCGGCTGGTGGGTTTGAATTGCTGACCTTGAGGTTAACACCCCAATGCAAAACCTACTAGGTTCTGAAGGCTTCTTACATGGGGCAAGGTGTACCATTTTCTCTTCTAAATATCCTGGCTGTACTTCTGGCAGTCTGTGGTATATTCGTTATTCTTCTCCAATACCATAATTCAGCATCTCTTCTTCTCTGGTCTTCGTCGTTACGCTTAATAAGCATGCATGTGAAAATACTATGACTTGAGTCAGTGCACCTGAATGTTCAAAGTGATATCTTCACTTTATAACACTTTGAAGAGCTTTTTGCAGCAGCTTTTCCCAATGAAATACGTCATTTTATTTCTTAACGGATGCTCCCATGAGCATTGATTGTGGATCTAAGTCAACATTTTTGTCTGTGTGGGAAGTTGATGGACATCCAGAGAGAGGCTTGTCATCAATCGACATTTCACCTTTTTTGAAACAGAAAACTGCTCCGAACACATGACAGTTTTTCCCATAGCTCTGTCCTTGTAAGCGGTGTTCAGCATCATAATAGTTTCTGCAGCAATTCCCTCCAATCCCCCACCCCCACCCAAGCAGGAAACAAAATTTTACAGCCACACATTGTTTTCTCAAATCAGCCATCACAGAAATAGAGGTTCTAGTGAAATTGCTTTTATGAAGAAATTCACTGTGACCAGGAAGAACCTTCCCAGGCAACGCCGTGGGTGCACTAACTCAGTGAGTTGCTTGTGCTCGCCAAGTGGGGAAAATGCACACTATGAAAGCTTTGCTCTGTCCAGCGTAATTCTGTTATTTTTTGGTGTACTCCCTCGAATAACTAGGGGTGTGGGGCCATTGGCATCTAGTGGAAGCAAACCAAGCTGCTTGTAAGTTAGAGCTAGTTTTAATCTAGGGAATAGGTTTCTTGCTGTTGTGTTCAAATAACAAAATACTACATCTTTGTGTTGTTAGCTGCCATTGAGTCAGTTCTAACTCATAGCCACCCTATATTATATACACCAGAATGAAACTCTGCCCAATCCCAAGCCATCCTTAACTTTTGAGTCCATTGTTTCAGACATTGTGTCAATCCATCTTGTTGAGGGTCATCTTCTTTTCGTCACTATTTAGCAAGGTGGAAATAGTTCTTTTGCATATTAAGATGATGAACATGTTAAATAGATGTTGCATGTATGTTGAAGCAGAGTTTTCAACATTTGGAACCCTGGAATTGAATACAAACCTCAGTAAATAGTTCATGTCTGAACTGCTGTTTTACATGGATTGAATCTCTATTGTTGAGTCTTGCCTAAGTAAAAAAGAATCTCTTGGATATTTCTGGATGCCAAATGATTGGCATTCTAATTTCTTCCCCTTTTTTCCTCCCTGGAATAACTTGTGGCTACTAACTCCTGAATTCTTGAAGAAAAGTTCTTTTGGCCGGAAATGCCCTTTAATAAAGGCTTTCTTGGTGACTTCATTTTACTGGCTATGCTAGTGCTCTTGGTGGGGGGGTGGTACTAGGTGGTTTACTGATGATGGTGGTTTGCTTCTGACTGTATGACAAATGAGGGAGCAGAGGAACCTGCATATGTTCATAAGCATCTGATTTATTTATCTTAAGATGCACTCTTTCTGAAAGGCCACGAGGAAGGATACCATGAGTGGCATTTAAAATATGGGTATCACCCTATAAGAGCTAATTGACTACATAGATGCCTTTGCTTCTCAGTATATAGTACATACGTATTTCTAGCCTAAGTTTTTTGGTGACCTTGGTTGTAATTGCAGAGTTTATTTTTTCCCTCTCAGTTTAGCCATTACTTTCCTTAAATTTATTGCTATTTTTTTAATAAATCATTTTATTGGGGGCTCATACAACTCTTATCACCACCCATCCATCCGTCCATTGTGTCAGGCACATTTGTACATTTGTTGCCATCATCATTTTCAAAACATTTTCTTTCTACTTGAGCCCTTGTTATCAGCTCCTCGTTTTCCCTTCCCCCCACCGTCCCTCCCGCATGAACCTTTGATAATTTATAAATTATTATTTTTTTTTCATATCTTACACTGACTGATGTCTCCCTTTACCCACTTTTCTGGGAGAAGGTTATAGGTAGATCATTGTGACTGGTTACCCCTTTGTCCCCCCACTTTCCCCTTAAAATTATTGCTCATTTAAAAATGTGTGCTAAGGCCATTAAAAAAAAACAAAACAAAACAACCCTTAGATTCTAGATGTTGAAAGCAACAAAAATAATTACCCAACCACTGCAATGTCAGGTATAATTTAAGAAAGCACTCTTCTTCCCATAGGAAAATATAGTTTAGTTTTACTCTATTCCAGCTCTGATTGAATGCTTTGGGTTTTTAACAGTTTGAAAATAAAATGTTTTTAGGTTAAATTTTAATAGCAAGATGTCCATACGAAATTAGATTAGTTAGGTTTCTCTTGGTTTAGGTGGCTTGGTCATTGTAATAGCTTCTTCAAAACTAGTGTGTACTTCATTTATTTTTTTACAAGGTATTTATAATGAAGTTGCACTCAACAAAATCATTTTTCTTATCACAATCCATACATACATCAATTGTGTAAAACACATTTGTACGTTTGTTGCCCTCATCATTCTCAAAACATTTGCTCTCCACTTAAGCCCTTGGCATCAGCTCTTCATTTTCCCCCCTCCCTCCCTCACGAATGCTTGATTATAAATTATTATTTTGTCATATCTTACACTGTCTGACGTCTCCCTTCACCCACTTTACTGTTGTCCATCCCCCCGGGAGGAGGTTATATGTAGATCCTTGTAATCAGTTCCCGTTTTCCACCCCACCCTCCCGTTATGGTCACTGGTCCTGAAGGGATCATCTGTCTTGGATTCCATGTGTTTTCCAGTTCCTATCTGTACCAGCGTACATCCTCTGGTCTAGCCGGATTTGTAAGGTAGAATGGGGATCATGATAATTGGGGGGGTGAGGGAGGAAGCATTTAGGAACTAGAGGAAAGTTGTATGTTTCATCATTGCCACATTGCACCCTGACTGGCTCGTCTCCTCCCCACCACCTGTCTGTAAGGGGATGAGCAATTGCCTATAGATGGGCTTTTGGTTCGCACTCCCCCTCAGTCACAATGATATGATTTTTTTGTTCTTTGATGTCTGGTACCTGATCCCTTCATTATTCTTTGTAAAGGCACAGAAGCAGCTATCTGAGTAAAACTTTCACAATTTTGTTATTATAGGTAATTGTTAGCAATGATTTCTCCTTATCTAAATTTCTTGCTTAAAATATATTAATTCTATGTGATGTTTATCTTCTTCAGGGCCCCTGAAACAAACAATTGAAACTCCCTCAATTCTCTAACTTACCTGGAAAATGACCAAAAAAGAACTAAGAATGTTTCCTTTAAAGTTATTTGTAATTTAATATCACCTTGGTGGAAAGGGGGGGGGGGGACCTCGGGTGTGTGCTTTGTCATTTGTTTGTTTATACATTGGCTTTATGGACCCTGATTGTGTTTCTTTAAAGGTAAATGCCATTGTTTAAATTTTTCTTTTTCTTTTAAAGACTGTGTGTATATCGAGAGTCGGAGGCCAAACACACCGTACTTCATTTGTAGTATTCAAGACTTCAAACTGGTAAGCATTTTGTAATATGCTGCTGATTCTGCTCCACACCTTTCTCCTTCAGTTCTGTGGCTGTCTGTGCTGATAGCTTCTCCATCACTTTTGCTGTGATAGCCCCTTGAGTTCTTTGGATGGCTTCATGGCTTCCACCCCTCAAATAAAGACGTTATTAGCTTTGTCATTTCAGTTTTCTAACACTTGATGTTATCATCCTTACATGTGAACATTTCTGATCTCTTTATTCTTTAAGTAACTCTTTTAACTTACTAATTTCAGATTCTCTTGTGTCTGAAGTAGTTTGTTTCTTCTTCTCAGCCATTGTTAAAATCCTGAACCTAGATAAACATAGAATTGAAGATGTGTGTGTGTGGGGGGAAAGGTTAGTTCTCAAGTAGAGTACTATAATTTACTTCATATTTTTGTAGAAATTGAATATTTTGAGCTTCTTTGGGGCCTCTAAGTGGTCACGGGGTGGGGGAGAAGGAAGTCTGATTTCAAGAGGTATAGATAGCTATTATACCTTTTCCGGGTGCATTAATGTTGATAGCTCCCATTATGAAATTTTATATTAGTGATTTTCATACTTTAGTGGTTGGAGTCTGGGATATCTGTAGAGATTTTGCAAGTAATTATTCTCAGTCTTAAATAAATATGAAGGCGTCAGGAAGTTTGTGGGAAAGTGAAATTAAAAGATAATGAAAATTTTCCATGAACCTTCTGAAGCCCTGCTGTATATTTTGGACATGTCTGTACAATTTTTTTTCCAAATGTATGACTATGTTGTGATTTTTAAAATACATTCATTTAAAAAATTGTATGTACTTAATAACCACTGTTGCATGTTCTTTATGTGTATTTCTTAACCTGCTGATACTTGGAATAATATAGTGCTATTATTTGGGGATTTAAAAAATACCTTGATGTTATAAAGCAATTCTCCTACTTAAAGACTTAATCACTGTTCTACGTTATTGGGTGTAGTTAAGTTAAAATTCTTTAGCATTGTGTAGATGTTTATACTTATCTGTGCTCTTATTTAAGAACACACTGTAATTTTCAATAATACAGGTATGTGTAGCTTAACATCTGCTCTCTGTCATACAACACACTCTACATTTTCAGCTAGGTTCAAAAATTCATTGCAATGGCCACACTGAACCCACAGAGAATACTCAAGTTTATGGGGTTTATATGGTAGTCTGCAGGTTACAATTCAGATAAGGAAGGTTTAGGATACAGCTTTTCAGTCAGGGCATATTACAAAATTCTTTTAGGGCTGCCAATCATGCTCCAGTGGCATGCCACTCTGCCACAAGTCTCAACCTATCCCTAAGGGACTCAGCTCCAGCTCTGTTGCCAGCAAACCCAGCTCCACCTGCTCAAACCCAGAGGCCCCACATACCACAAACTAGCCTCCTCCTAGCTTAAAACACTTATCTTTACTTACTCTGTGGACTGGGAAGGTCTTCCACTCTGTCTCATGCTCTGGCTCCTGGTTCTGTTGCTTCTCTGTCATTCCAGTTTGTCAAAGCTGTGTCTTGGATGAAGGCAATTCACTGTTCAGGTTCATTCCCAGCTCTTGCTGGTAGTGAGATTCCCCCTACTCCTGCTTCTGAGATAACTCACCATATACCCAGCAGGATGACAGTGACTCATAGTGGAATCATATAATCCAATCAGTATTTCCCCTACTTTCTAACCCAGGCTCATCAGGGAAAATTTGTATGGTGGGAATTATAGAGACTGTGACTAGAAAAGCTACATTAAATAATTCACTGCCCTGCAACATCCATGGTACATTTTATGAAATAGGATGTTATCTGATTTGGCCATTTTGTAAACACCATATTAAAAACTACTGGAGTCTGGTATAGCTGCTGGCAGTGGTGGAAGACCAGGTTGCAGAAGCAGTGGCTGAGGGGATATCATTGAAAGGAAGTGAGGAAGGATCAGAATCTGCCCAGCCCAGACCCTGCAGCCAGCCACTCTGCACCCAGAATATGCCCTCTACCTCACCTGCTTTTATCTCATCCATGGTCCTGTTCTGCATGAGTCTGGGTTTAGGGACTTGAGTGGGTTTTGACTCTTAGCAACCCATGTACAACAGAACAAAATACTGCTTGGTCCTGCACCATCCTCACAAACATTGCTTGCTTTGTTTGAACCCATTGTTATAGACACTATCAGTTCATCTCATTAAGGAACGTCCTCTTTTTCACAGAACCTCTGTTTTACCAAGTCCGATGTTCTTTTCTTAGACTGGCCCCTTCTGATAACATGACCCAAGTCCGTGAGACAAGGTCTCGCCATCTTTGTTTATAAGGAGCATTCTGGGTGCATGTCTTCCAGAATGGTTATGTTGGATCTTCTGGCATTCCATGGTTCTTTCAATATTCTTTACCAACACCATAATTAAAATGCATCAATTCCAGTATTATTTAGTAATTGTCCAGCTTCTTAAAAATTTATTTATTTATTTATTTGCAAGCATTTTATTAGGAGCTCACACGACTCTTATCACAATCCATACATACATCAATTGTGTAAAGCACATTTGTACATTCATTGCCCTCGTCATTCTCAAAACATTTGCTCTCCACTTAAGGCCCCGGCATCAGCTCCTCAATTTTTCCCCTCCCTCCCCGCTCCCCCCAATTGTCCAGCTTTTGCATATATATAAAACATTTGAAAATGCCATGGCTTGCTTACGTCGGGAACACTTTAGTCCTCAAAGTGACATCTTTGCTTTGAAGATGTCTTTTGTAACACAATGTATGCAATCAAAATGCTGTTTGATTTCGTTTGTTTGTTTGATTTCTTGACTGCTGTTTTCGTGGTGTTGATTGTGGATCCAAGTAAAAAGAAATCCGTGGCAATTTCAATCTTATCTCCATTTATCAGATGACACTTATTGGTTCAGCTGTGAAGTCACACGATTAGTGTTTGATCATCGATTCACCTATACCAAGCAAGGTTATGCCATCTGTATATTGTAGGTTGTTAAAATTATAGTGTTTGTTGGGGGTTGGGGGACATAATGAACAAAAGGAGAGTTACTTTCTATTTAAAAACACAAAAAAACTATGAGACCACAGCTGGACGTTAAGCAATGCATACCTGTATTTGTGTTCTGACACACACTATGTGTAATGTTTCAGTCTGAAGAAAAGTAAAAGGTAGTTTTGAAAAGATCTTTGACTCTGTATCTCCTTTGTTTCTTCTTATCATTTGTAATGATCCCACCAATATCCAATTAATGCAGGAGTACATTCTGATGTAGCTAGTTAACAAAATTACATGCCATTTATTTATTTTTATTAAGTAGTAATACATGACTGTCTAAAATGAATTTGCCTTTTACTTTTAAGATATAGTTTTTCTTTGTATTCTGCTTTAACTTCCCTGATTGTTTTGTAAGATGGCCTTGCAGTTTAGTTTTGTCACATCAAATGCCTTTTACTCAGTTTTTATGTCAGTATAAATTTTCCCTGTTTCTAGAGGTCTTTGCTACTTATTATATTTTTCCTTCCAAAGTTGCTTTACAGATGCTGTGCTGACATCTGAAAATTTTGTGCGGTGGCCTTGTTTCCTGAAGAGTTTTATTTTAGTAGTAGCTGCTACCACGAATCTTTCCCTATCCACTGTATCTGTGTGGGATTTTTACTAATCCTAATACCAGTGCTCTATGGAAAATATATAGTAATAAAGTCCAGCTGCAAAGACATTTCTTCTATCTATTCAGTTCTGACCCTCTTTTGTACTATTTTTGTACATTAGCGGGTGTCTTCATGTTTGAACAGCATCTCATAAAAAGCTGATTACAATGTGGTAGTTGATGTTCTGGGCAGAGGTTCCTGCTGAGTTACAGTAATTGCTCAGGGCGTTAACAGCAATAAAAATGGATGTTTCTGTTGTCAGTATTGATCTCATACAACACCGACAAAGCTGTCTGCAAAACAATGTGGGAAATAGGCTGCAGCATGTTCAGATATACCTTTTTCTGATTCACACAGTGTGATTTCTTTTGTTCAAAGTTCTGTATTCAGCACATACTCATAGCTGTGGTGTTAGAACAGCAGACTTGATGAAATATTTGTTGTTTGAAGGAGGGTGGTTTTTCTTTGTATACTCCTGTCTTTGTTTCACTATACTGCATATAACCAGATAGCTGATATGAGTAATCTTTTTTTTTTTTTTTTATTTAACCCCTCCACATTACCCAGGCTATTAGGGGAAAGAAAAGGCAGAAGGAAATTTCCTTTTTTCCATCAGGACTGAAAAATAAAGAAATTGGGTTGTTCCTTCCCATAGCATTTAGCATGGCAAGTGGCACCATCAAAATCTAAACCCAATAGTTTCGAAATATCATTGATTAATTATATTTTTAATATCTTTCTATCCATTTAAAAATTTTAAAATGGTTTGCAATTTTAACTGAGAGGTGTTTTGGTGTATTGTTTATGTTTAAAGGTTTGAAAGATGTATTAAGCAAGAGTGCAATGGGAAACACAGCAAAAGCTGACACATTTGCAAGTGGGAATGAGAGTCACCAACCAGGCACCAACTGCCAGGCACTGAAACCATTCATTGAATTTAGGATCCTGGGTCCTATTTCATAAGCTAATTGTATATGAGACAAGGATTTGGATTTTTGTGGGGCCTGGCTTGGCTTAGGGGTTCTCCATTTGCATCCCCCTAGAACATAGCTGCCTCCATGTCCTTTCCAATATTGCCCCCTTTTTACTTACAAGCATGTTCTGCTTGGTGTGCAGTCATTGTGTTTTTAATGATGAGAACCTCTGGTTTCAGCTTTATCAATATTTTGCTATCACTACCCAAAGCCATTCCACACACACTTTCACCAGGGTAGGTGGCAGCTATGGTGGTGCAGAGTAATTAAGTTCCCAACTGAGCTGAGTATTTTAAAAATAGAATTTTCAAGGAAAGTGAATTATATGTCCCATTAGATTTTTTAAAGGAAGTTTTCAGTTGGTTAAACGTTTTTTGCAAAC